CCCCAAAACCCCAAAACCCCAAAACCCCAAAACCCCGAGATAATTTTCAACATTGGAAATGCTTTAAAGATACTTAATTGATTATAAATACTGGAATTTAGTAGTTAACCAGGCAAGAGGAAAAAGGTTTAGATCCAAATAGTCATAATTTTCAGGCTCAAGCTCGCTAAAGGCATATATTGAGCTAGAGTATTTATCATAAACCATAGCTTTCTTGTGATACGAACAAGCTTCAGATGATAATTTGTTGTAGTCAATCTCTTTAATCACATCCTTCTTTATATTCAGTGTGTAGATTAGAGGAAAAGGATGCAGAAGATTTTCATATTGAAACACAAAGATCTTCTCATTTTCGGTAACCCAAGAGGAACCCTCCTCAAATTTTGTACTAGGAAGACTCATTGTGGTGATATCGTATTGATACATATCTTCTTCTGCTGAGAAGAAGACATTGTCATCCACTAGGACCACATGGTCCTTGGTGGAGTCAAATGGGTTGTATAGTGTACTCTCCATAATTTTACAGAAAGACTTGTTCTCATTGTTTACTTCAAAATCAAGCTTCGAAGGCTTTTCTTTGAAATCAATATCCCTGATATTGTTAATGTCAAATTCTTCGACGAAATAGTTGTCTACAAATAAGACCGTAAGGTACCTTTTTGAAGCTTACATCCTCCAAAGATATAAATCCTTTTATATTTATTAGAGACTACCGCCTTTGGTGTCGCCCGTGGATATCAAAGGCTATTGAGAGATTCCCATTCATGAACTAGTAGATTTAGCCTTTCAACTATAGCAGTGTATTGGCTATTTCTCTGTGGAGCCTCCCATGCAGTAACAGTAATAATCAACTGTGACCATAGTGTGGCCCTTTCTTGGGGTAAGCATGTCTTTAAGTCGGAAAAGTTTACACGTTCTTACATTATAAAGCATTGTCCGAGGACTGATCCTGTTAGTTCTATATTTTTCAATTCCTCCAGTCATAACTAATTCTAAAAAAATATGAATGGCAATTACCATTTTCATTGACTTGAGAATAAGCAGGCGAAATGGTACCAAGAACTCCGTTGAGAGGAAAATCTGAAAATGTTTGGTTTACTGTATCAAATCTGATGATTCAGTCTTCATAGAGTTGTAGAATAATAGATGTTTTGGGCCCCATTCCGTATGTAACAGTCAAGGGTTCAGGCTCGTAGGGATCATATTCTCCTTCGATACTTTGCTCTATTTGCTTGATCTCTTGGTGTGGCTCAGGACTGAAGTTATCTCTTCGGCTGTTTAATAGAGTATGCTTCATAGTTTCTCGATCTAATGTATCACCAAAACTATCTTGGTCATATCTTGACATTTGCTCCTTCATCATAGCTGGGGTCGATTTTGATGAGAATAATGTTGAATTAGCAAACAAGGATTTCTATTACTGATGAAAAATTCAAATGACTAACCTTCCCAATTGGGTTTAGAGTTGATCTCCAAATCTCACAGTTTTCCTCTCTTTAGATTGAGGACTCATGGGATTTTCTGTCATTCCTACAGCTTGGTTAACTTCATTTGTCGTTTCATAATAGCTAGTATTTGGCATATCAGTTACAGTTGGTACTAAATGGTTGTCTTCTCGATACTCAGTGAATGTATATGGCTTATGGACTTCCTTATTTAGATAAAGCATCCCAGACATTTTGGAGCCCCATAGTATTCCGAATTTTTGAATTATTCAGCCAAGTATCATCAAAGTTTGAATATAAATGAGGATCAGCTGTGAGCGATTGCATCTGGTCCTTAATTTTCTGTCTCTCTTTGACAGCTCTAGCTCGCTTATTCCTTGATTTAATACTCTCAAAGCTATTATACTCGGAAGGATTGACCATTGCACTCATCCGGATCATATCAAGCTTGCTCTGATTCTTCTTTGTGTGAAATTTAAGCCCTAAATTTAAACCTTGTCTCAATGATGCTTACCAGGAGGGGTGTCCATATTTATAAAATAAATGACTCAAAAATAATTAATTATGAGGGGTTTTGGGGTTTTGGGGTTTTGGGG